AACTACGTGACTTCACTCTGAAATAGAAGTGTAAATCAGGAGTATCTCCACTGAAGTCAGTGAGATTATGGTGCTATAAAAGTGATATATGTGTGAGGAAAACCAGAGCCATGGGATGAATGACTAGAGTTGCCACTGAGCTGTAGAATCTCTTGGCATACCTAGTCTGTAAAATGCAAACACTGCATGCAATACTTTCAATCAGAACAGTGAAAAAAAGAGAAAGATTTAAGAGAGACATCACTGAAACAGCAAAGCTGAGGGCCTTGCTTAAAGTGAGAAAAAAAATATTTCTAAAACACCTGAAGAATTGACAATTGCTTGACAGGATGCAAGAATGAGTCTCTTTCTTACCCTCTCACTTGTTTAAAAGCTGGGGTTAGAGATTATCTTTAAATTCCAGATTCCATTGAAATAATTTTTTTTCATTTTTCTATGAAATTATATTAAAACTAATTTTCTTAGTCTTTTTTTCTAATCTTGAGTTTAGCTCTCTCATACTTGTTATAATTCTTTAACACAGCATTCGGATTCCATTCTTAAAATTTCCACTTATAGGGAAGTAGAAAAATATAAATGCAGAAGACTTTCTCTACAGTCTGCTGAATTTCTTATGACATTGCTAGTCTTTGGAGCTGCTTGCTGTGTTGTTTTGAAGAGGTGAAGATGAGCACTTTATGTATTATGATCTATTTAAAGTGCTTCAGGGCATTTGAATGTGAAGTAAAGATTGCAGACAATTTAGCTGTGGGGTAAATATTCATTGTTCTTTCACCATCTCTCTGGGCAACCAGGTCCAGCGTAACACCTCTCTTATTGTAAAAAGTTTCTCCCTTATATCTAATGTAAAAATTCCCTGATCTAGTTCAAAACCATTTCCCCTTCTCTTGTCACAACAGGCCCTACTAAAGTATCCATCTCCTTATTTCTGACTTTTTAGATACCGAAAGGCCACACTATCAAATCTTCCAGGAGCCTTCTCTTCTCCAGGCTATACAGCCCCAGCTCTCTCAGCCTGTCCTTGATGGAGAAGTGTTCCATCCTTCCATTCCTTGGGTCATTTTTGTGTCCCTCCTCTGGATGTACTCCATCAGGTCCATGTCTCTCCTATACTGAGGACTCCACATCTGGATGCAGTGCTCTGGGTGAGGTCTCACTTGCACAGAGTAGAGGGGCAGGATTACTTCCTTTGCCTTGCTGGCTGCACTTATTTGGATGCAGCCCTGGATGTGGTTGGCTTTCTGGGCTGCAAGGGCACCTTGCTGGCTCATGTCCAGCTTACCATCCACCAGTACTGTCAGGTCCTTTTTGGTAGAGCTATTATGGTGCTTTAAATTCTGATTCAGTTGTGATTAGGCACCCAGATACTCTAAGTGTAATTAATAGTTCTACTGAAACCTTCTACAAACTGCTTTCCTGCTCATATAAACTACTCTACTGTCAAACTCTGACCTATGACTCTGAGGCAACAAATATCTGTTTTCTTTGTGTGAGTTTTGATTTTTTGTTTGCAGGTGCTGAAGAGTCATCAGTGTGATGACTTCTGTGTAAAAAATTATTTATTTTCACTCGGAGCTGCTCCTCAGTGCTCCTTTTTACTTACAGGCACAATCTAAATTTGAAAGGAACAGCCAGCAGGGAAATGCTGTATTTTTCATTGGGGTGATATGTATAGAATGTGAGAGACTGCTGAGTCAGGCACAGTTTGCTGTTTGTCACTGCCTAAAACCATTAGCATTATGAGATTATACAAGGCACCTGCTGAAAGATCAAAAGATCCTACTTGAAGCCCGGGAGAGTGATATTGTAAGCAGACTTTAGTTTGTAGCCTGCATAAGAACAAAGGTTATTTCTTTTTCAGAACTTCTATAGTTTAACTAACAAACCCAGGAAGACACAATTTTCTATGGCCTGTGACAAATGTTTCAGGTTGTCCAGTGTGATCTTTTGAAAAATATGGTAGAAATGAGAGAGGAATTATTACTGACATTTTTTCACAGAGAGACACAAGGTGGTCACACCCCTAATTGCTTTAAATCCAGTTTGTTCATTTTGGTGTGTGGTGGGGAGGGTGATGAGGCTCAACCAATGCTGCAGATTTGATTGTAAAGTGCTTTTTTTGCCTGATGTATGCAACGGTACTGACTTAAGTGCTAGAGTGTCTCTATAATGGAGGTGAGTAGCTTGATGCACAGAAAGCAGTGCTTTAAAAGCTCAGGCTTACCAGCACAATGTGCTGAAGTGGGGAATATGGTTGAAACTCTGATCCTCTCAGAAGAATGTTAACAAACTGTGTACAGCAGGACAGCATCTATCTCCTGATTTCCACCTGCTGGAAGGGGAAAGGGTAAAAGAAAGTTCCTTCTGAAACCCTGCTGCAGAAATAAGCAGTAATAGTGAAAACCTCTTTGCTAGAAGTTAGAGCATCTGCTGCCATTTTGCGTGTGGATGCTTGCTACTCTGCAGTGGCAGGTGTCTGACTGAGGTACTCATGGTTTTTCTCTCTCCTTTCTGTTTAAGTAATAATGTATTGGGCTGAGGAGAAAAAATAGTACTGCAGCTGGATGACTATATTATCTGGGAGAAATGGGTTCGTGTTCCCTCTCCAGTGTGTACTTAATATTATGTGTTTATTGAAATAATCTCTTGCTGGGTCAGCTCCTCCCTAGGTGATTGATCCTTGAGATCAACAGGGTGCAGTGAATATTACTCATGCTTTTCTACCCTTTTTCTCCATACTCCACAGCTCATGAGAAGTGGAATAGTTCATAGTACAAGGATTATGAAAGTTCTGGTAACTCTGTAGTTTGAGGGTTTTGTTTTTGTTTTTGTTTTTGTTTTTTTTTTTTTTTTTTTTTTGCAGTAGGCAGTTTCAAACAGAGAATGGAGAAAAGATTTGCTTTTGTATCCACTATGCACATGTTCATGCTTACATTTCTATTTGCAACCTGAAGTTTTAGCTGTGCTCTGAAAATCTGCATGGTAATGCAAAAAGAGAAAACTACAAAAATCAGTCATAATGGTTCATTTGGAAACAGCTCAGCTGAAAGTCTCACCTTAATTGTTAGTCATAATTGGTCTTTCTAAGATTATAGATAAGTAATGAATAGTGTAAATAGGGTGATACATATAAAAATATAAATTAAAAAGTACAAAAATAAACTCTACCCTATTTTCATACTTGACTCATTCAAAAGAACTTAACAACATTTGTTAGATCATATTAAAAATCTTTTCAATCATTATGCTCAAATGGAAATAATGTCCGTATTTAAAATGATTTACTTGCCTCCCATTGAAGTTTTGCATTATGTCTTGCTCTTCTGCAAAACAGCTGTTGCCCCTTAGTAGAAGGCTTCAAGCACATTTGATGTTGGCACATTTTGGCCATACCCTTCTTATCCAGCTGTCAAAACAGTCTCAACAACTATGGATGAGACCCTAGGGGTTTTCTTCAGTGGGGAGAGATTTCCTGGTGAAGAAGACTCGAGGCTTTTTTATTCTACTGTGTATTCTTGCTGTGAGAGGTATTCAGAGAAGAAAAGGGATACAGCCTAAAGAGCTTCAAGCAATGCCAGTCCTTGCTGCTGCAGCAGGCTGTCAGAGCAGTGGGTACTCAGGTGTAAGTTAGAGCAGTTTTTAGCATCCTCTAGTTTGTGCCAAGGACTGGGTCAGTTATTGGCTGGTCCCAGAAGGTAAACACTGCAGAGAGGTGGCTTTGCTTCCCCAGGTTTGGAGCAGTGTTGTGACTGCTGGGTGTGAGAGCATTTCTAGCGCTCAACAGCAATTTTCTTGTACTATGAATATGGTGCTGTCTTACCTTGCAATTTTTTTCCATCAGCAAGAAATAGACCCAGTTCAAACTAAAATGTCTTCTCCTTTCAGGATGAAATTGTGCATGCATAAGTAATGGTGGTTTGTGTCAAATACTTTTAAAAGTCTTTGGGTGTTTGTATATTCAAATCTGATTCAGACTTCGGGCTGACAGGGGTCTCAAAGGATACAAATGTGAGCTGAGAGGAATAATCACTTGAAGATGTTAAAAGAAAAAAAAAACAACATGAATATCTGGCCACCCTCTAGAAAAATGAAGTATGAATATTCTAAGGTAAATCTTTATTGGAATACAAAGGGAATAAGACCACAAAAACTCCACCCAACACTACCCACATCTCCCTAGGATAAAAAACACACTAAACTCAAGGAGAACAGAACTACACTGTAAGCTAAATAAAATGATTTTTCAAAGCTAACTAAAGATTTATGTACAGGCTCATTGTGTAGTTTTTGTGCTCTTCCAGGAACACGGACGTTTAGTTCAAGTCATTCATTTCAGATACATTACTTTAGTTTGGAAGTTGGCACATTACTGTTAAGATCAGAGATGTGTTTTAAAGAGCTTCTTGGCTGGAATAGAGATTAGAAAGTTTTTTGTAAAGCTTTTTTTTTTTTTTTCTTCATACATATGATTCTTCTACATTTGTGTTTTAGCACATTATTTAACCAATGGATTCTTTGATGGATTGGTTGCATAATGCAAGAGATATTCCAGGAACTGGCAGTGTGTATCCAATGGGAATAGCTCTATTTCAGTTCTGTTGCTTTGTGTCTGAGCGCATTTACTTACATTTGCCTCTCCTGTTGCCAGAAGTCATCCTTTTCTTTCAGGATGCAACTAGGAACTTTTTGAGAAAAGTGTAATGATCCCCTTTCCAAATATTATGCAATTTTACATTCTTTATGTGAGGTATTTTCTTAAAACTTTGGAGTATCAAAAAGTGAGTTGCTTCTCATTTTATGTAAGGGCAACTGAGGTAAAAATGTAAGCCAAGAGATAGTGTATACAAGTGTATACAGAGTCAGATTCTCAGTTGGAAACCACCATTACACTCAATTTTTATTTTTTTTAATTTGAGAATGGAGAAGACCAATGCTTGAAATTAACTTAGTGTGTTGATGTCAGTTTGCCAATAACAGTTTTGTGTTTTTTTTTCTCCTAGAAACCAGTCTTATGAGAAAGAAAAAACCACAACAATGCAGAGCGTCCAAATCTCCTTTAAAGGTAACAGAATTCACTCCTGGTCTTATATTTATTGTTCAGGGCCAAGAAGCGTGCTTATTAGTGCTTATTAGATTGCTAAGTGCTTTTATTTGGTCGTTCTCCTCCATATGGAATCATCTAGGGTGCAGACAAATAGATATTAATGGTCTGCAAGAGCCATCGTTATTCCATTGTGCGTGTCAATTCGTGCTGGTTCTTTTTCATTTCTCCTGTGCACATAAAGCTGTGAGGTAGTGTTTTCTATATAATGTCTTTTCCCAGCTGATACTTTTTAGCATAAGGTTCTTGGTTTTCTTTCAAGTACAGAATAAATGTCAATTAGTCCCTCATCTGCTTTATGATGATTCTTGAATCTCAAGAGTATAAAGCCCAAGTAGCTCTGCATGCTATGCTCATCTAAAGATGGAGATTCTGGCCTATTATATTTATCTACTCTATGAGAAACTTTGAATCTAATGTAAGAATCTGTATCAGAAAAGAGCTCAGTGAGTACAGAATAGCAGGAGGGATTAAACACATTTGTCACAATTACCTTTGCTGTGTCTCTTCTAGTAAATAGAGTACTCTTTTCACTCATATTCCTGCTGCTTTACCGGTGTCCGCTTTCATTTTGTGATAAAAAGAATCCAATTTGCTTTTCTTTCTCCGATCTACGTATGGATATTGCTCTGCCCTTATTGTACTTCTTACCAACTCATTCTTCTTAATACGCTCTTAGAAAATTTCTCATGAATGTTTAATTCCTAACAATAGAATACTGGAATAATTTTCATGGTGCAGAAATGTTCTGCTGACCAACTTACCAGAGTGAAAATGCTAATATGACCCCTGTGTCGGTCCTGCAGCCATGTTTAATGTAAATTTAATACAGTGATTCCCTCAGAGATGGAAGATGGCAGGCTTACCAGAGCTACACTGAATCAAGGTATTAGTATTTAGCAGACCCCGGTTACTAGGCTACTGTTTGTCTCTGAGACTAGGAAAGATCACAGAAATGCACTTTCATGTTATCTGTCACACATGTGACTGGCTATGTTGTATGAAGAAGGCATTTTACAGATTTGATGAGAGGCTAAAAATAATAAAAGAATGGCTGGGAGTGGGAATGGGAAAGGCAAAACATACAGTATTCTAATGCCCCACTCTGATTCTCAATTGCTTTTCTGTAGGAATAAAAAACAGAACAAAACACCAAGAGCCCAAACCATGCACTCAATATCAAATAAAACATCATATTTTTTTATAAACTGAATGCTGCTCTGGAAAGCAGCCAGTGGGGGAATTTTCCACTTGTGCTCCCTTTACAGCCTCTTTCAAACCTACTGCTAAGCAGCAGGGGCACATACTCCCTTTGGAGTAGGGCACTTCACTACCTTTTCTATTATGCAGCTATGACACATTAAGCTACTTGAAATGGTATTCATATTTTATCAGCTCTCCTAACTTTAGTTCTTTATTTATAATGCACTCTGACTTTTTTTTCCATCCTGTATATCCAGATTTAGTAAAGTAAAAGACCAATGCGGCTGAAGGAAAAAATGAACTGAGCCCCCAAACCACTCTATGAATTTAATCATACCTTTCAGGTGCAGTGTATATTTTCATTCAGTGTTAAAGGCTTCACCCAATCATTGCTTTCTTTTTGCACAGCGTTTGCCATGGTGCCCTCTGTGAATCGTATTTGCTTTGCTCATATTTCAGAAATCATCTTTACTTGGAAGAATAGCACATTTTATTCCCTAAATATGACACATTATGGCTGTGATCTGATAAAAGATCCTTGCACGTGAAAATGCTAACATTTCTGTGCAAACCTGCACTGATTTGCAAATGCAGCAATGCAGATTTGGTAACAACTTTAGAAAATAGTGTTTATATTTTGGTAGCCTTCTTATATAAGCTTAGGAAATCTCTTTTCTAATATTGAGGAAGGCATTGATTAAGTACTATTGACAGCACTATCTTATCATGTTGAAGATGGTTTGTAAATACCAACAGAACCTGTATTTCCTACCACCACTCTGCTAACCTGAACTGTTAGTCAAAAAGATGTTGCAAGAACGCTCTGTGTAGGTGGGAAATTTGATAACAGAAGCATGCAATATTTTTGGTGCAAACTCAGTGTTTGTTTTATAAATATGTTCTGTTTTTCTGAATACAAGAGAGAGAGAGCCATTGGGCATTTTTCTTATTCTCAAATATCACGCTTGCTACTCCAATAACGTCTGTCCTCAAGAAGCCTTTCTTATTTCTGCCTCCTACTTCCATCATATATTTAGACTGGCTTCTTAGCCCATGCTTCTACAAGCAGGAAAACATTTCTTCTGCAGCTCACAAAGGTCAGCCCTGCCATGACCTAAAGCCTGTAGCTATGGCCATTTAGTCCCAGACAGAAATGGGTTTGAGGCTGATCAATCATAATAGCTCCCAGTGCAGGTCCCTTTTAAGTGAAGTTTGTCAAAAGCATTGTTGAAATCAGTGGATAAGTGAAAAAACAACGCATTCGTGAATGCTAGCAAATGATTGAGATTTTATTGTCTATTTAGTGAGACTGTGTGTTGGAAGAAGGGGGAGAGAACAGGACGTGCTTGCTATGCTCTGTGAGCAGGGTTCTGATGTTTTCATTAGGTGAAAACCTTGCGTACCAAGAGAAAAGCTACCCTCCCAAAGCTGAGGAAAGCAAGACAAAATGGCTCTGTTCTGTGTGGAGGATGCTGCTAAAGCCAGAATCATGAAACAGAATTGTGACGGCAGCACTACAGAGCACTTTGTCAGTACTTACGCAGTATTAAGCACATGCCTAAACCTAGAAGCTGTGACTCACTGCCTGATGTTTTCCTGAGGAAATAAATAAGTAAAGTGATAATAGGAAAATTTTTTTCCCCTTCATAAACCTACACACTTTTAAAAGTAAGGCCTTTGTTTCGCTTTTCTTTTGAGTTGCAGTGATTTTCATCAAGAGCTTTTAAGAATATTTGGAACAAAAATGATTGAACTTGCATTTTAATGTCACAAGCTGGCAACAGGTTTTAAACAGCATTGTATGGTTGGACTGGAAGTGATAAAATACAAGGTGAATTTCTTTGGAAGGCCACTCATGAAAAAACAACGCGCTTCTAGTGTAGTCTGACAAAGAAATTCCCTTGGAATCCTTTGCTCTAAATGTTGTTCCTCATTGCTGGGTGCCTCTCAAAATCTTTTACCTGCAAAAAATTTTTACCTGCAAAAATAACACTGTTAACATTTTCTCACTTTGTATACAGAAAAATGTTCAGTGCAAGAAGATGGAGAATTAAGGGCTCTGTCTTACTAAAGTAAAAAGAAACCTAGCTTCACACTGAGCCAGGTTTTGACCTTGGATAGGTATCATTAGATCCGTTGGTTTAATTAAAACTTAGCTCTGTTTCTCCACTTTGAATGCTTTCACTGTAGTGTTCTTAAACTCTGAGTTTTATGTAGTAGTGAGTAGGGATTTTGAAGGCTATTAACTCATTTAAGTGCAAAAGTTCGTAACCTCTTACGGCAGTACACTTTTCTTTATAGTTGCAAGACAGAGCTGTACATAGAAGAAAAATTTAATATGACTTTGAAGAATTTGAGGAGAATGCTTCATACTCAGTGATAATTCTGAAGTACAGTTGTACCTGTCTTGTTCTGCTATTTTTCTTGCTTCTGACTTTCATAGATTCACCACTGCAATCTCTCGATTAATAGGAAAGTCAAGAAAAATATTATTGAAATATCATATGCAGAGTGTACCTGACCAGCACAGGTTGTTCAAAGGAATAGTCAGAAACTATGGAGAGTATAGAAGATATACAACCATGACAGAATGTGTACTTACTCTGTAAGTAATGCCTCCTATTTATTTTCATGGAAATTTCTAAGAACAGGTACAAAGAGGAGGATAAAACTATTTAATAGAGCAAATTTTCAGCTACAAACACCATTTTTCAACATAGTCACCACCACTAGGTGTGCCTTATCACCAGTGATGAACAAGAGACTCCATGCCGTGCTTGTACAAATGTGTACTAGCAGAGGTGACCACTGTTGCCATTCTGCTGAAATGTACCACCTACTGCCTCACTGCACTCCCATTCATGTTTGGTCTCCAGAAATGTCCAGCAGGCATTGATGAATGTCTGTGGGGGCCATTTTTTTTCTGCATGAAATAAATCTTTGCTTCCATCTGCACTTCCAAATTGTGCCATTGTGCCTCTCTTCTGCCATTTGTTAAACAGCAGCAAAAAGTATTGGGATGTTGGTGGGAAGGTTCAGCATCTACTGCCATACCTCCAGCATCTGTCTCTGATGTCATGGGCTGCCATCATAATATTGGAGGCATTACTTTTAGAGCAACCCTTGTGCATCACAACAGATCCATGAGAACATTTTTCACTTCTCAAAGTGGAAAGGCTGGCAAATACTCACCTTTGCATATAAGTGTGTGTAATTTCAGATACAGCAACTGATCTTTCATACAGCTCTATACCAATTTAGAAGGTTTTTTCAACATAGCAGCATCTTCTGCTATGTGGATGACCAGGAATAAATGTAGCAAAATTTCAAATAACAAGCTTCTGAACCAATGTAATTTCAGGAATATTGCTTTGAAAACAGTTGAATTTCTCCCAAAATTCAGCAGTATAACTAAGAACAGAACTTCACACTTTCCTGTTTTTGCTAGGAAATTTAAAATGTCAAGTAGCAATCAAAAAAATATCTAATTCTGTAGGAACTTAGGCTTTCTGCAGATAGCTCTTTTGTTTTCCGTGAATTTTTTGCCAGGTTTTAGCCGGAGCTGCTGAAAATTACAGAAAAACAGAAAGGAATATGGATCCGAGTTACTGCCCTCTTAATAAGAGATCAAGCTTCTTTAAAGCCACTCTAATTTGTGAGCAGAGATCAAACACTTTGCTTAAGATAATGAGTGTAGTAAATTTGGGAAAAACGCTTTGATTGCTTAGCAGTTCATGGCTTTCTTTTTCTAAAAGAAA